ATCGACCGTATCTTTTTTGGAGATTTTAACAAATGTTTCCGATACGTAGCTGTTGGAATGAGATGATAGTCATTATAACATGTTCTTTTTCTCGATCCAATTTAAATAATCTACTATTTATATTAGTGCAACTCAACAAGTTTGTGTAAAAGAATGCCTAAAAACATTTTATCACCACAAGACACTTTATGCATAAGAACTGAAACTGAACGCAATGATACTTTCAGTAAGAGCACAATTAGCGATAAGTTATTTTCGTATACATAATCAACCAATAATCAGATAGAATTGTGTCTTTTATTACTGTATCAACTGTAGCGAAGCTGTTCAAGAATGAGCGCATGCTCACATATGAGGTGAAACCTTTTTGTCCCTAAAATGTACTCACGACTCTAGTGCGTCTAGTTTATTAGTTAAATAAAGTGCTAGCTATTGATGGTTAATGACAGACGGCTGTTTTATAATCAATGTTTTTGTTTTGAAATATGATTTGCTTTCCTTCCGCAAAATATGTATATGTAAATCTGGGAATATGATTTTCAGTTCCGAATTGCATTTAATGCTGTGTAGTGTCTGTAGATTAAGTGGAAAAAGTTTCTGGGGGAACCATTGTATGGTTAGAGAAATTCATTGAAAATGAAGATCAACTATTGAAACATATGCAGAAGGGTAAGGGTGAGGAGCTATGGATTGTGAAGCACATTTGAAATTTTCCTCTTCTGTAGATAATTATTTGCAGTTTAGGTGCACACCTTTTTGAAAATACTAGAAATGTGCATCTTGTCTTTGTCTTTCCTTTAACAATAATTCGTAGCTTTAGAGTGAGAAAGGAAGATATGTGATTCGAGGTTTTTGGTGAAATTCAAACATTTAAAAATGATGTGCACTTAAAATAACTTGCATCACAACACTTAACTTCCCACCAGCATTTGACATATATTTGTGGGAAGTTAAGTGTACTCTGCTATCTCCGGTCAAGAAACTTTTGTAAATTATTTTTGAACGCTAGTCAAATTGTATGTTAGTTTACAAAAAGTAGTTCATCCTTAGAAACATTTATTAAATTTAAATCTAAATTAATATAAAAAAATTGTTTTGTACAATGCAAAACAAGAAGAGATCAAAAAATAGAATTTTGATTTTGACTAGACTTGACATATTGCACGACTATTCATCATAATAGAAGATATTTCGTTTTCTTTAGATGAATCCAGTGGAATATTCATCTGTACTCACGTCCAGACTGTTCTCAGCATCATATATCATTGAAGGGGAGTTTTGTTCATTCGACCAGTGATTTGTACTCAATGTATCCTGCTGATCTAAAATTATAAAGTTATAGGTAAATAGTGAGTTCGTTTTGTCACAAAACTTGCCAGTGATTATGTGGAATTTATTGAGAGTTGCAGTGACAGCAAGACGTCGAGAATGAAAATGTTTCCAGTTTCTCTCTGAGTTTCAGAAAATTAGTTTATTCTCCTCAAATCAAGGATATTGTAGAGCTTTGAGTAAAGTACTTTTTTCTAATCATAGATTTTCCATTTTTTTCGTCTCTCTTCTTCACGCGTTTATTACTATACCTGCTGATGAAAGATTGAGTGTATCAACTAAACTAACAGTATTAGCTGTTAGTGTCGTATATGCTGGTGAACTTGGGGTTACACACGGCTTTTTCTTCATTCTCGCTCTAGCATTTTGAAACCAGATTTGTGTTGTTCTTTTAGTTAGACCTAAAATTTGCAAACAAAAATATACCTTCGCTTGCATCTGATTTAACCAAATATTTTTCTCCGTGAGTCAATAGAAATAAATAATGATGTTGTCTAATCGAACTGCGATGATTCATTAGATTTACATTCAATTTTAATTGATGACAATGTCTGGACGGCATATTATGAAAATCATCGCTGACAGGCATATCGTCTTTTGATTTATCGACGTTACCTACCATCGTACTTAAGCTTATTTGTTGTTGTTGTTCTTGCTGTTGTTGATGGCGAAGTTCGTGCACGTTTTTATCGCGGATTTTCTTTTGTCTTGCTCGAGTATTTTGAAAATAAACTTGAATAACCCTTTTACTCAAACCTAAACAAAATGACTCATAGTTCTTTAATTTTGTTTTTTAAAGAAAATAGAAAAGCTTCTAGCAAGCAGTTTAAAAGCGCGACAAAAACGAACATGATCTATTCGCAGCAGCAACAACAATAAGCTTCCCGAATCACTGAATGAAGCTAAACTGCTTCAGCCTTTATTACTCTAGTTGTACTACAACATCTTTCTGTCTTTTTGGTGACTTAGATACTTACCCGTAATTTGTGCTATTCTCTCGAGATCTTGTCCATCTGGATTCGAATCTACTTCAAAATTTGCTTGTAGTACTTGAAGTTGTTCTTCGGTGAACGTTGTTCTAACCCGTTTCGCCTTGCCTTGTTTTGGATCTAGAAACAATTAAGTTTGAAAAAAAACAGAAAATAATTCCCTATTTCTCTTGCCTCCATCTTTACCATCATTTTCTGAACTTTCACAATAGTGTGTTTTGCATAACACAGCTGAATTTAATAATGCAAACTCTTCTCCAGTGGATAGTTGTCTTTTGCATGAATTGCAAGCAAAACAAGCCAAATGATAAACATGTTCTTTTGCACGACGGACCCAATCACTTGGCTGAATGTTTCTACCACATTTTGAACATTTTATACTGCCATAACGCCTATAGTAAGAAAAATTCAAAGAAGAGACGTATTAAGACTAAAATCAGGTAAGGTAAAATTACTTATAATAATCTTGACGGCAAAATATTTGAATTCCTTTTATAAAACATGATTTATGCGATTCGAGTGATAATTTGCAAATTGTACATTGAAGACATTCTTCGTGAAATAATTTATCGGCCACGCGAAGATAATACTTGGACAAAATATTATCACCACATGAGGTACACGCAACCATATCATTCGTCACCTAAAATTGAAACATAGTCTAAGACAATCGTCATAGTTTATTCTTGTCATGGACGATAATTATCATAGAACTCTTAGGTAAAGTTATGTCTAATTAATAAATTCCTATTCTACAATAGTTTTGGAATTTATAACAGGTTTTTTCTCTTAAAAAGTCACAAACATAAAACCCTTCTTCTGGTATCACCTTTTTCTCTTGCAATAGCACGTATATACAATACACTCAGAGTCTGACTTAAAAAATCAAAACTTTTAATGTTTAAATTAAGACACGAATCTGAATAATTCAATCCTGATAATACTTACTGATTGGTATGTATTTCATAAATTAACTGAAATAAACTGAATAAAAGATGGGCTCATTCAATATGTTCACTTACACAGCACAATTTTATGCAGTTAGTCTGGCACCAATTTTGAGCGCTTGAATATGCATAGAAAGACGGCGTATCCTGAATGATACACAGTATGTCAAGAAATTGGACACTCGATTTATCGCAAAAAAGAAACGTACTTTCTACAAAGAAACCTTTCTTATAATGCATAATCTTAATAATAACAGTCATACGTGAAACAGAAAGACATCACCCTACCTCACTTTTATTCTTAAATCAACTTTCTGCGGTTGCTCGATCGAACAAAAATTGAGAAGTGCATAGAGATACATTAGCTTTTTTGTTTTCGAGAGTCAAAGCCGCTTTTATGAAATTTAAGATGACAGAGAAAGGCAGTTTAACTTTTAGACAGTTAAAATGGGATGATTTTTTTCTTTGACTATAGAATAGTTTCAAATCTATCACATCCACAAACATATGACAAAAACCAAATAAATGATGTTAAACGACTCTCAAAATCGCTGTGTACTGTCAAAACACCTTGAATTTAAATGCATCATTCCTCCGTAGACAAACCCGAGCAAACTGAACAGGGTGGTGTATAAGAATTATCCGCAACATAGATTTATGATATGTGCGCTACATTTTCGAGCACGTATTCTCCAAGAAATTTCTTGATGTGCTAATATAAAAGAGCACATACCTTTTGAGGAAGGCGTTTTTATTTGTTTTCTTTAGGAAAAAAAAAAATGCAGTACATATGATCTCAAAACATTTCGTTTAAAAGATCATGTACGTAGAAACGTTCTAAATTCGCGTCTTTTGCGTGTGTATATAAAGTACACACTTTCAAATATAATAATTACGTACTAATTGATTATCAAACTTGAAATAAAACTTACTCACTTGTTGCTTTTTCACTTCATTTGATAATAACTGCGTAACCTGAAATGATAGAAATACGATGAACGCTAAAAAATCTTTTCAACAAATAGTGAAAGATACAGATTTGAGAATAGGATGGACTGGTCGATATTTACCTTTGTTGTTTGAATTTTAAAGGTTTCTTTGGTTTCGTTACTAAATTCCATTATGCAAGTATATTTTTAATAATCTCTGTCCAATGCATTACTATTGTTAGCTAAACCTTCTTTTCTTTCGTTACCATTTGTTCTACAAACTAGAAAAATTTCTTGTATATTTTAAATTCATCCAATCTCTAGCATTTCTTCTCCACAGAGAGAGAGAGAGAAAGAGAGGGAAAGAGAAAGAGAGAGAAAGAGAAAGAGAGAGAGAGAGAGAAAAAAATTTAATTTAAAGGACATTTATGCCTTTTCTTTTTTACAGACCAATAGAACAAGAATAAAATTAGTATCATGAATAGACATGCAGGAAACTTGAACAAAATTTTTATTGCGCGTTTATATTTGTCTTCCTTTTCTTGAATTGACTTTTATTATCAATAAAGAAAACATCCTTCAGGGTCTTACATTGAAAAAATAAAATTAAGGAAGTCTTTATTTCTAAATTGTATAAAAAAAAATAAAATTAATTATGACAATAATTTACTAAAAATAAAACATAGAAAATAGTTCCAAAAATCATGGTGTTACTTCTGTTCTGAAAAATAAATAAAATTTTCATACTCATTCATCAAATCAATCAATGACTATTTATTTTACAAAAGGTGATCGACTATACACACTTAATACGATCTTGTCACACTCTAAAAAAAATTGTGTCGCATTATGCGTGGATGTGCTGCAAACAGCTCCTTGTGTCGGAAAAATAATTTTTCAAAAATTGTACGACATATTTTTCAGCTAAACTCTACGACACATTAATTTTTTTGCGACATAAGAAGCTGTTTGCGACACATCCACACATAATGTGACACAATTATTTTTAGAGTGCACTATTTGTCCTCGAGAAATTTAATTCAATACAAAAAATAATTTTGTTGTAAACAGAGATTTTTCCGAATATTTATTTCGAACTGGCAATTCCACTCACACTGTAATATAAACAGTATTCTCTGAACCGTATAGACGACAGTGATTCAATACTTTATAACTAACCAAAGTCAGTTAAGAGTAAAAGTGTTTCTTGACAGTGCCTAATTTTCTTGATTTATTTTTTTTGATTTTTATTCTTGTTCATAATTATTGTTGTTGTTCTTTCATAGTGAAACGCGTGTTCATTATTATTAGTTCCTTTAATCCCACCCACTGTGAAACACTCAGCGGCATCTCTCAGTGCTCTTTGACATTTAACACTGAAGATTTTGTCTGTTTTTATATTTAATCCAAGCTGTTCATGTATTTTCTTGATAGTATATGAACGAGAAAAGTTTTAAAAATATAGAAAGAAGGATGGACTCTTCATTTGATAAACAATAACCAGGGGGTATTTGTCATGTTGATGACGACTGAATAAACAATAATTTTAGTTTCTACGTTAGACCAAATAAAATCATCTTCATTATCTGTAAAAGACAAGAGGACACTGTTCTAACTATATACAATCATCAAAATGGTTAGTTAAAATGAAAAAAAATTCTAACCCTTTACAATTTTAATATTACATAGAATTTTTATGTTTATCATGAAAATTTGATTCAGTTTTTCTATATGTAACAATATTGTATAGTAATCGATTTCTGAAAAACTTTTCAGACTTCTAATCAATCGGACAAAATAGAATGAAAGTGTGAAAGAAATATCTATATGTTTTTTTATGCTTTATGTTTCACTAGTTTACTCAATGAAATATTTGAACATCTGACTGAAGTGATCTAACAACAAATTGACCGAATAAAGAGATTCTGTGTCCTATGTTCTAATAGAATTACAAAGCCAATCTAATCTAATTTTTTTCCTTTTTTTTATTTACATTGTATTTTAAATGTGACATATAGGTCGATTCGCTACGGCCTAGTAATAGAAAAAAGTAACAAGAAGAGTGAGCCCTATGGGCTAGAGAGAAAGTTAAGAAGTTTGATGATTAGTGAGTGTATAGTATTCAAATCAAAATTCTGCCAGATCAAGTGGAAAAAAGAAAAAATATTTTGTGTCAAATAAAGCAAGATAGAATGAGAGAAAGAGACAAATTGCAATGCATCCAAATTAATTTGATCCAAATAAAAGACTTGAATGTATAAATCAACTGGTAAAGAAAATGAGAGACATAGCCATTTTGATCGAATTTTGTCTGTTTATCATCACATTAAATGTTTTTTTGATTATTGAGTAATTAATTTATTTTATCTTTCAAATAATGAAATCAAAAAAATGTTATCCACCTTTATTGTATTAGTATAACTTAATTTTTAGTCAATGTACAATGTTTTCTTCTCTGTAATTTTACAATCAAAAGCCGAACATCCTTATTCGTGTCAGTAATATTGCGTGACAAAAGATATATAATCACCATTCTTGTGTCGTCAATTATTTCAATAGACATAACGAGTGTTGACTTGATAATTTCATCCGACCGTCGTTCTAATAGATTATCAATATTTTTGTTCGAGCAAAAACTAACTGCTCACAAACAATTGATCATTACGACTAATTTTCTCTTTTGATGCATATCTCTCTCTTTGGGACCGTACAGTTAATTTCATAGGTGAATGAATTGTACTAAAGTTTAATAATGCAGAATAATATTCTCTCGGTATTGTTCGTAATTATATGGGATAATATAGAAAAAACATAATCGGGCATAAATACAACGACATTTTTTCAGTTTCTTCATTTGATTTCCGTTTCGCGTTTTCCTTTTGTGATCACAATTGGAATTAATTATACATCTCATCTAAAATAATTATGAACTTTTACTTTTTTGTTAGAAACGCGAATTTATCATTGAGGCTCGGTTAACAAGAGGAAACACAACATATACACAATGGAATATTGCTTATTTAATTGACTTCATCATTCTTAAACCGAAACTGTACCAGAAGCATCTAGTTTCTGTGACTGTCTCTATAACTTTAACAAGGACTATATATTCTCAAATGAAAAGTGTATTCGATAAACAAACGTCTTTTAGTATGTGGCATATGCTAAAAACAATTAAATAGTGTATGAGTAAAACGTGTATTTTATCTATTAAACTGAAAATAAGAGTGATACCTCTTGCTGGAGAATGCTGATAAGAGTTTTAGAAAATTGTTTCAGATCCGTACCGGCGAATAAGGGTACGAGTCTGAATTTATAAAATTTTTTGCTGGTCTATGTCTATACTCTATACATGTTAGATTGAGAATCTAAAATTTGGAATTGCTTATAAACTAGAAGGAATGCATGATAAATTCATCGAAACATGCGTATTGTGTAACGGGAAGTTTGTATTGTCAAATTCATTGCTTCACAACATTGTTTAGGATCCATGCTCCGACAATTATCTCCTACTTATCACACATTTTCAACACGTAAAGTGGTTAACACTTTAGTAACTATAAATCAGAGCAACGTTATTTATAGAAAACTTTAAGAAATGTCTAGTACTTGTCGATACCGGCACGGATATAAAAATTCTAAAAATATCGGTAAGGATCTAAAAAAGTCTAAATTCGCAGGGCAAATGTTGATGACATTATAGGTAATGTGGACGATAATGAAGCGGTCGTAGGATATTGCTGTCCTTTTCAAGCTGTGTTGTGGCTCTCCGAAATCTTGGTAAACCGAACTTTTTTGAATTGCTATATGTTTCTCTAAAAATAAAGGTGCTTTTTTTGTTTTTTTAGAGCTCTGTATGATTTTTGCTCAGAATTCTGTATTTATTCAGTACAAACTTCTAATCGAACATGGGCTCGGTGGGAGACATTATTAGAGAAAACACAGCATGCGAATAAAAGAACGCTCAGAGCTCTACGATCTCTCATTTTATAGAATAATATTTACTCTATATTTCGGCACATTCATAAAAGTGTGTCTCTTTTTCTTTCGGATTACGTACTTTTTTCTAAATATAAAAAAACTTGAGCCTAGGTTCGTCACGTGTCTGATTAGAAACAAATACAGTTGGGTTTGGATTTTCCGTATAAATTGAATTTTTTGATCATCAACATATGTCGGATTAACGCCTGTAGTAGGGCTTGACAATAAACTTTATTTGGCGATTTAAAAAACTTAACAATGTAAATTGCTATTAGATAGGAAGATCCTCAAAATGAAAAGTCTGAATTAGTCTTATATCGCAGCCAAATCCCCTCCTACACTCGTGTTCATGTAAGGTGCCGCTAATTCAAAAATCAAGTGGAAAACCTTTTGAATTTTCAAACACATATTCTGATTCGTCGGACGCTGCTGATCGCGAATCTGACCGAGTTCTCAGAGTTCTGGTTTATTGCAAAACCTACTCGGAAAACTCCGAACCTCTCAAACGTATTTCTAACGTATTCAGCATTGCGTTTTACCTAGAAAACCACAATAGCAGTGCTCTAAATAGAAATCTCACTGACTTATGGACTCATCATCTGAAGGCTTTTTCGAAAAACTCGCACTTTCTCAGTCTTTTCCTAATTTCTCCTGAAAGGAAAAACGTTTTGAAAAAAACGAAGCATACTTTTGTGGAGCAAGGCAAGGCGAATCTTGTGGCGTCGAAAGAACTCTCTAGTTCTCATGGCAAAAAAATAGATAGCATTGCGCGGTGAGAATCTGAAGGTTCGAGCGATCAGTGTTTGATCAGCTACAAGAGTTTAAGTCTTGAAGAAAAGTCATCGAATGACAAGTGCCTAGATGTGCTTCGCGATGCTGAATCCGAAAATTTTGTTGGTGAGGTCAAAAAATGAAAAGATCAGGAGATAATCAAGATTTTTCTGAAAAATCGGTTTTTCGAGCTTTTTGACGCCGTCACAGTATTTTGAGGTTTTCTGCACGAAAACTCGATCAAATCGAAAAAATAAGGTCAGATTCGTGATCGGCAGCGTCCGACGAATCAGAATATGTGTTTGAAAATTCAAAAGCTTTTCCATTTGATTTTTGAATTAGCGGCACCTTATTTATTGCCGTAAATGTAAAAAAGGCGAAAAACCTGGTTGTTCAGATGCTATCTAGACAACCGATTTTCAGTATCGAAGCAGTAACGAAGCTCGAGTATGGAAACTTTTTGAAATTTGTATCACTAGTATTAAAAGGTCAAATCATGCTTTTCTCAAAACAACTATTTCAGATAAGGAAGCCGATTCCAGTAGGATTCGAGAATTAGGCCATCACCATGTTCAGAAAAACACGACTTGTGAAGGAACAAATATGAATTCGAATACAACTTGACGCGGGCTACCAATCTAGCATAGCGACAAGTTGCTGACTCGAGATAGATGTAAATCTGGGAAGACTCGAATTACTCTTTATCTGCGCATTCCACGGTATCATTCTTGCCTTGCAAAACAGGTAGTTGATTTTCATTATCATCTATAATAACTTAAATATTTAGATTTGTATTCTTCCTTCGATCTTGGATAAAATCAATGATAGCACTATGTGTCGTAGAGATGTGTAGGGCTGATTTTTTTTCCTGTGCCCTGCACTATAAAAATTATATAGTATAATTCAAAACTGACTCATATCAATCTAGGATAAATCAGACACTCCGTTTGAAAATAACAACTTAGAGCTGAAGTACTAATGCAGTATAAGATAGATTCGAAAGAGTAATACAAAAAAGAGAAATTTTTCGTATGTGTGAAATGGCCTTCCAAATCTGGTCATGCGAATCTGACACTTTTTCAATGAAATATTTCCTTGCTAATTGTAAAAAGGGTATTTCGAGCTATGTGTACCCCGAACACAAGTTTAAAATTCTCTTTTTTTTTAAACTTGTTCTTGTTTATTAAAATATAGTTGTATTTAACTTCAACAAACAAACACAGCTATGCTTGCAGACAAGTCTATGTTGCATAGTGCATAATCCGTTAATAAATATAAAATAGTTTGCGTTCCGGAGTGCAGAGAAATCAAGAAAAAATATTTTTATCAGTCATGCATAACAAATCGATCCGTTTGAGTAACAAAGTTAATGACACCTTTGAATACGACCTTAACTTCTTGAGGTGTTAAAGAGTTTTGCAAAAGTAGAGTTTTCAAGTCAAAATTCAAACGGCGCAGAACCATCTGAAATAAAGTTCTCTTCTCAGGTATTAATTTGAATTGATGGTATCACAAATCTATATTTTCTGTTCATTACAGCTTTTATCGCGGGTACAGTTCAAATATACTTCTAAATTTGTCTTTTGATCCACTGGTCATCTTTGAGAATCTCAGATAGAAATCTTAGTGTGATTTGAGTGATTTGAGTGATTTACACTTATTTTTACTGTACGTTACCTGAACAAACGATTTAATGGTTGCTTGATACCGCCACCTATTCGGTTTAAAAACGGTTCGTTCGAAAAAGTAGCCCTATCCGTATGTTTCAATACTTCAGCAACATGTTATTTTTACGTATGGTAATCACACATCATATCATGTCATCGCTCGTATTGTTTCATTACTTGCCTATCTGATGCATTTTTTTCTTTGAATCTTAAACTTGACGCACTATGTTCTGTCTTCAATAAGCTGTTGGCCATATGGACAAACAGTGCGGGCCCCAGCGTCTCTAATGATTAGGCGTTTTTGTTTATCAGATGTATCATATCTTAAATAACAGACTTAATTTTATTAAAAACTTAGAAGAGCGCCATGTAATTCTGAAACGAAGTTTTATTTTATTCTAGATCATTTTTAGTTAGTTATATCGGTATCATGCAATCAATTTTAAAACTCTCTTCACGAAAGTACTATTTAGTGGATTCTTTCATAAATAGAATATCTGAAGTTTATTTGTGTTTTTTTAGTTGTATTTCATCGATCAGTCGTCTTAAACACACACTACCTGATTTGCCATATGATTATAATGCATTAGAACCAGTAATCAGTGGCGAGATAATGAAATTACATCATCAAAAACACCATGCGACATATGTTAATAATTTGAATGTTGCTGAGGAAAAATATAAAGATGCTCAGGCTCAAAGTAAAAAGAATTGCGCTTAACTTTCTTTTGTTCAACACTCAGTTTGTTCAGATGATCTAAATACAATGATTCATCTTCAACCAGCACTAAGATTTAATGGTGGTGGTCATATTAATCATGCTATATTTTGGAAAGTATTATGTCCAAAAGAAGGGTAAGCATCCATTTTTTTTCGTTTTAAATAGATTAATTTATTAATTCTCTACATTCTAGTGGTAACCAACCGGCTGGTGAATTATTAGAATTAATTAAACGGGATTTTGGATCATTTGATAAAATGGTACAACAATTGTCAAATGCTTCAGTGGGAATTCAAGGATCAGGTTGGGGTTGGTTAGGTTTTAACAAACAGGAAAATAAATTACAAATAGCAACATGTGCCAATCAAGACCCATTGCAAGCAACAACCGGTAGTTTTAATAAAAATATAAGAATAAAGTTACAAAATATCTATAGAAGACTTTTTCGTCTAGGTTTGACGCCTCTTTTTGGTATCGATGTTTGGGAACATGCTTATTATCTACAGTACAAGAATGTGCGTGCTGATTATGTTAAAAATATATTTAATATTACCAACTGGAAGAAAGTAGAAGAAAATTATCAGAAAGCAAAACAAGGCCAATAAACTAACTGAACTAGAGAACAAATAGTGATGATTTCTTTTTTCTTAACTTTTATTTTGTACACCGTGAGCGTGTTTTTTGTTTTAACTTTTTTTCTATTTTTCAGATCTATTTGTTCATTCTGGATCGGTATAGCTCCTAGATTTAATTATTTTTATCAGAAAGACAAATTTATACGTACTTGTATTGTTATATGACGTTAAAGTTACAGTTTGTAATTATAGCTTTTTATGATAAACAAAAAAACATCTATATTTAAACTGTTTTCTATAAAAAAAAATTGCTAGGTTGTTTTTGATAGTAGTTTGTTATAGAAAATGACGTCGCCAAATCAACCATGTGTGACGTATTGTTTATAGTGTAGAATACTCCCTAGTACGTAGTATATTTCACGTCTGAATACTGATGGATTATATTGTGAAAAACAATTCAAACTTTGAGGATATAAATAACCTTTGCTTGTATCATTCAAATGATTAAAAACACACTTTAAATGAAAAATGTTTTGTTTATTAAAATATCAATCAACAAAGGAATGTAGGTAGGAAACGGGGGTAATATAATAAAATATAATAAAGCTACAAAATAACAAATACAAAACAGAGAATAATTTTAATGTTCTGGTCCTGTTGGGCTTAATAACTTTCCCATTTCAATAGCTTTTTCTAATTGTATTTGTTCTTTTGATTTTCTAAACGTTCTCCTATACCAGTTTTGAAATGCTTTTCCAATGTTTTTGTAACCGAGACCGTCGGGTGCGCCACCTTTACGATGATCACTAACTGCCCATAACTCGTTGGAATGGCGCCTTTCTATTGCCTGAACTACGCAACCTTAGTTTGAGAGAAATCAAAATTTTAATGGATAGAACAGTTAGAATATATTTAATATATATGTATCTACCTCCACGGAAACCACTTATCGTATGGCCTTTCGATAATAAACTGTGTACAACATTCTAAGAAGTAGAATAACATGGACATTTTCGTTGTTGATTAGTACAGTTGATTAAGTGAAAAAAAAATACATACAACAGGAAAACGTTTTTCTAATTCCAATTCCATTGGTATTAATTGTTGATGTATTCTTGGCATATCGACAGCATCTCGTAAATTTTTTCCTAACCACAAGTTATAAATAGCAACCTAAAATACACTGAAGAAGTTTAAATTAATATTTTTTTCATTATGTCGTTTATAATAAATACTTGAGCTACAGAAGAAATAATTCGACTACCACCTGATCCACCTGCTGTAAATATTACTTCTCCGTTATAATCCGTAATTAATATTGGTGACATTGATGACATTGGTCTTTTAAATGGTTTTATAAAATTTGCAGGTGATGGTGCGTAACCGTAATAATTGGCACGACCAGGACTTGAAAAATCGTCCATTTGATTGTTATAAATAATCCCTAAATATAAACAATATTCAACTTTTAAAAATATTGTATAAAGCATTTTTAATCTTTATTTCATCTCCTACCGGTCTTTTTTCCATAAACAAATGCTCCAAAACTAAAATTTAATAAGATAATTTTAATAATGCTCCTAATAAATGTATGTTTATATCATTCACAGATAAGATTAGCTAGTATCTATTTTTTATTGCAGACAAAGAATCTTGTCTAGATTTCCAAACTTTATCGATAATTTTAAATATCAACATACTCTGTATTAATTGTACTTGTTGCTGCCACAGCGTTACCATATGAATCAATAACAGAACAATGACTTGTGCCATGATCTAAAAAGTATGTATGCAGGAGAAATTAAAAACCAATGGAATTTAAAATTCTCCTAGTAAAAATTTTAATTTTTCCTAGTGGAAATTAAAATCAACATATTCACAAACACGAAACTCAATTATCCGTCTGTAAAGCTCGAGTTTTAGTTTTCTGAAAAGCGCACGATGTTTATGGACAGCAGGTAAAGTTTGTAAACAATAATTACGAGTCCAAAAACAGCAACTTGTCAGCAGAATTTGACCCGAATTCTGACCCCCCATGTTTGATGATCTATACTCTAACTTATGACTATATTTTGGTCGAATAGAAACTTTTGGATTCGCAGTCACTGTTCATAATCTTCACCAGATGTCCATAAATATCGTGCGCCTTTTAGAAAACTAAAACTCCAGCTTTACAGCCGAATAATTGAGTTTTCGTGTTTGTGAATATGTTGATTTTAATTTCCACTAAAAAAATTTAAAATTTTAACTTTTTAATTTTTTTAAATTTCATTAGATTTTAATTTCTCCTGCAACATATACAAATTTACTTATATTATTCCTACTGACTTTTTTTTTCTCTCACCCGTCTGCGGTTCAAATTGAGGTTCATAATAATCTAAATCTTGTGCTTTCGTTTCATTAATTTTTCTTCGAATATAGTCAGCATAATCTGGTGATAGTATTTGTTCAAGTAACTAAAATTTTTTTCAAAAACTTGACTGTTAATAATCATTTGTGATTCTTAAAGTAAGATTACATTGACTATATCTTGATTTTTTTCGGTTTGAGAGTCATATTCATCACCGAGAGCCGATCGTTTTCCATAAGCAAATTTAAACACTTCTGTCAATATATGATAAAATTTTACTTGTTTTTCTTCACTGTCTAAACTTTGTGGTGTGAGGTTATACCCTAAACATCACAGAATAAAACATGTACATCTTTTTGTTTCTTTTCTGTTTCAGTCCTTTTTACCATCCATCACTTTTAGAATCAGAAGAGTAATAGCACTGCTCGCGGGTGGAGGTACCTAAAAACAGAACAGAATAAATAAACAATGTTCGATATTCAATTTAGAGAAAAATCTTACTCCATATGCAGTATAACCATCATTTAATTCCACTTTGATGGCGTCTCTTACTCGAGCATGATACGTAAACAGATCCTCTTTATTGATTATACCACCGTTCGATTGTATTTCATTACAAATATCATCAGTTAATACACCTTCATAAAATGCCGATGGTCCTTTCTCAGCTATAATTCGAAAAGTTTCGGCTAATCGCGGAAGATACATGGTGTCACCAAGTTGATAAACATGATCTGAACCACCTTTGAAAAATACACTTCTGAAACCAGCAAAATATATAACTGCAAATTTGTTGTGACTTGATGTTTTACATAACTTATATTTTTTAATTCGAAAAAATGCTCACCGTAATGCTTTATTTTTTCCAAGTTTTTCTTTATGTTTTTGTAATGTAAATGCAAGTGGACGAGCGACTTTAAAGCCTCCTTCACACATATCTATCGCTATAATAGAAGGCATAATGATAATGTTCACAAAAACATAACGTTCGACATAGAACATACCTGGCTTAAATAAAGCAGACCATGGTAGTTTACCATATTGTTTGTGGGCTTTCCAATAGCCAGCAATTTCTCCTGGAATTCCAATCGCCATACCACCTTTAAGTGATGAGAATAAAACGAACATATCATTATCAGTGTACAGTTTTATAAAACAAACGCGGTATTACTGTGTTAAGTGAAAACGAACACATGTATTGAATAAAAATGTTTGTTTGTACTTGGCTATACCTTCGACAGAGGATACGTTATTTCCATCCACAAACATTCGTTGATGAGCATTACCGGATGCTGCTTCTCGAGCATTAATTGCAGTACATTTCTTCGTTGCACTGTAAATATAATACCAAAAGTATGTAAAATAAAAAACTAGCGATGTATCTCTAAAGTAGTGACTCTTATTTTTAACTTACAAATCATAGCAATTCATGATAAAACCACCACCAATCCCGATCGAGTGACAGTTATGTATGCCGACACATAATAACACCGCGATCGCTGCATCAGTAGCTGAACCACCTAAATTTAGTATACGTCTAAAACGAAAGAAGAATTTGTTTTAGCATTTAAACCTAAAGAAAATGAGTATAAGTATTCTAAAGAACGTCTAGTTGAGTCACTTCAGTTTTGGAATGTTGAAGTTGAACGAAACACACATTGGAGTATACTTTTGCTTCTTACTACGCTCACCTTCCGACTTTGGATGCTTGTTCATTATCGGACGCAACAGCACCGAATCTACATCGAGCAAATGATGATTCACCTGCAGAGAAAGACATCAATGACTACCAATATCTAATTCGCATATAATAGTTAATAATTACCTTCAAAACCATAGTTTTCTACGCCAGGAAGATCGATCTGAAATTCTAGAGATAAAAGTTATCGAGTAGAAAATAGTCTTGGTTATGGTTTTTATGATTCTTACTTGGTGGTTGTGGATCTTGTAAACACCGTTTTGTTATGGAAAATGCACGTATATGGTTAATCTAAAATCATATAAATTTAATTTTATAAGCGTTATAGTTAGAACAACTAGATTAGTTTACAGAAACAATTGACTGACGAGCTAATCTATTTTCTAAATGACGTAACGATAATCGAAATGAATTGATTACAATAGGCATATTGTATGAGTGTAGAGTAAATAATTGTTATTGTACGATAATATTTGTTTAATCATGTTTGTATGGTAGATCAATCTTGATTGTACATTTGAACAAAAATGATACCATTATTAATAATTCTCTGCATCTAAAAATAACAATCGTAGAGGGGGAGAATGTTTATAATAAAAATTTAATATTCTGCTTTTAATATTCCACAGATTATAATTTTTTTCAGAGAGCAAGACATTCTTTTCCATTTTTTTACTCTGCAAGCATTTTTTTGTTCTGTTCTCGCACGGCTAGTGTCTAACTATACACTTTCCTATCGTGCCTCTGTTATTGTCTGTATATTTTTTTCTCTTACAACTAAATGAAGGACGACTCTGTCTTATACGTATGAGTATATATAATGGCATGTATATTTATGCATAAGCGGCTATTAAATAGTAAAACTAGTGTCTCAATTCGTCCTGTACACTCACATTCACTTCTGATGCCACAATTGATATTCTTTCATCTTATAAACCATTTAGGAACGAATCAAGAGGGCACTTTGGTTATTAAGTAGGTGAAATACTGCATACTTATATTTTTCTAAACAAACAGATGCTAAAATTTGACTTTTCATAAGATTCTATACACTGTTCGAGGATCTTACTGATGCGCTTATTACAATTACAATGTGGAAGAATTGTGTTAAAGAATCAAGGCTTTTTTACAGTTTCAAAAGATTGAAACTATCATCTCAAATTTAAACTATTCGTTCGAATGAGAAGGTCACTCATAATTGATATAAAGGAAAAACATAGAGTATTTTGTCTCATACACATTCTAAAAGAAACGTTTCTTACAAAATCAAAAAGATTTTTACTTTTCGTCCTAAAACCGAAAGTGGTTTATTAAACCGATAAAAAATTCAAAAGCGTTTTATAGTAATTACAAAACGCTCGGGCTTTGTACAAAACTGTATTTCTACTTTTATACAGAAAACCTTGGATATTGTAAGATACGGTCAGAGTTTTTAGATTAACAGGAGGTACCAACAAAGTTTTTCGCTTTTTTCTGAACTCTCGTTGGCTTATGTCTTCCTCGAAGACTGAAAAACCCAATTGTTAAACCAATAAAAATTAAAGTTTTCTAAAAATCACTGAAAAACCCGATCGTTTTGCAGCAATACTACTAAATCGATGAATACTTCATTTTTCCTAAAAAATCACCCAACTCGAATTTTTAAAATAAGCTTATATCGTTTTTCAGAGTGAAAAATTCATATGTGATTATCTTTGTAGCAATAAAATGTATTTTATCTACAAGTCAAAAGGTATAGTACAACACTGATACTCTTTTCTCTTCATTTTTGCATCTGTTTAAACAGATTAGGTTTAACTTTTTAGAGTGAGAGATTTTCAAATTAAAAACGGCACAAGAAAGTCGATTTTATGAATTGTACAAAACCCTGAAGCGTTGTTTAAAATACCAAAAAACGGTTTATCAGAGAATATTTGCATTTGCAACCATACGAAACGCATTTCAGCTTCGAAAACAGTGATAAACCCTTATCATTTCTTTTATTTACTGTTGAAACGGTGTTTTGTATAACGAGAGTTTTTTTCACTCTGATATAAATACAAAACGGAAATGCGTTTCGTATGGTCGCAAATGCAAATATTCTGTTTTTTGTTTTGTAATATACATTTTCTTTTAATAGTGCACGTCAAAGTAACGGGTGTTACAGAAAGAATGATGTAGTTTTTATTTTCAGTTTTTCTCTCTCCCTTTGCACTTACACAGCTCATTTTTTTACCAAAAGATTCCCCATTCATTTCTCTACAAAATGGTGTATAGAAGCTGATCATAAAGTTTGAGATACTGTCTTAATTAAACAAATAACGTTAAAAAATTAAAATTGTTTCTGACGACAATTTTGAAGTTTGAGCTCCATTTTGAAAGTGATAAGTAGAAGATCACATGTCATTTCTTAGCACGTTTAGATGCCCTCTTCCAGCTGGCGCAAGACTCATTTCATCCACATGAGTTCGAAGTAATAAAACTGACTAGTTAATAATTAGCAGCCGTTAATGAATAAAATATGCTAGGTTCAGCATTTCGAATATTTTCAGAAAGTTACAATAAACGTTTCGCACATGAGTCAAGTAGACCAAATATTCATCTTCAAAATGACGCAAGAATGAGCCTGACTAGTTCATTTTGGCTGAAAACTGTTCATTTTACAAATAACCCCAAAATGTCGGTTGAAAAGGCTGAAAAAACAATCATAGGGCTTTTGGAAAAAACATTACTAAAAACACAGAAATACCGGTAGAAAATTCGTACTACGGCTAATCGATGGAGAATTTTAAGGGCTGCATTTTGATCTACTTGCTCTGGATACAATACGTACGTTCAACTTCATACTGACGAAATACATGTTTTTGAGTTAAACTTTAAGTTTTTAGAACATTTCGATTTTTGTTCAATCAAGACAGTATCTCAAATCTTAGGATCAGTACATACACTATTTTGTTCGGAAATGAATAGAGAATCTTGTGGTAAAAAAGTGAGCTCGGCGAGTGCAATAGGAGAGAAGAAAAACTGAAAATAAAAACTACATTCTTTCTGTAACACCCGTTATATTTGTACTACTTCCACTTATCGCTTTTGCATTATCAGATAAGCAAACTTTGCATCACAATATAAATATCGGAGATTAGGAGAACTTAATCTACATTTTCCAATTCAATTATTTAATTAGCTTTCTTTTTCTTCTTCTTCGTCTTGAGATTGAACACTAATGTTTTACAATAGAATAAAAACTTAGATTTCTTCGAGTTAATTTCTTTTCGTTATGGCTATAAATAAAAACCTCTTGTCCATTACGTTAGTTATTTAATTGCCATAGTCATGTTTCTTCCTCACCTAATAATAATTCATTTCTGTTGCCTTAAATGCTAGAGCCTATTCATAACAAGCTAGATTATTGATATTGATGTATGTTCTTAATGTGTAGAACACCATCGTTCTCTTCATTTATAATTACTATAATAAATATAAAGCAGAATTTTGCGATTGGAAAGGCAGAGAGCAAAATAGATAAAAATTGATTGTTTTAGAAAAATATTTTCTCTTTTTTTTAATTCTTTTTTTACGTTTGTGACAGTATTTTTAATGGAATTATTTCTAATTTTGTTGAATAGCGAAAAAACTATTGAATTATGTACACGTACACTCACTGTTATGTTAACAAATCCGAAATAAGTCCAAAACAGATTACTTTTTCAAACGGGTCAAGTAATCGTCGGAAAGTATACGAAAATGTGAGGCAAAAATAACGCATATAGAAGTTAGAGTAGAAAATGTACGCTCTTTACGTAAATTCTTTTAATTACTATACAACTGTTTATAAAGACTTTCCATTTCATAATTGAACATTAGCATCATAAAGTCATGTAGAACGCGAAAAGTTGTATATAATAAACTAAACTGTCATTATTGATTAAAACATGACGATGAAGTTTTTATATATTTAAATGTTTTATTGGCGATTTCGATGCATACACTAACTGTTCAATCATACTTTCATAACTTATATTGCGTTTGTTACACGTCTGAAGTTCAAATTTGATAATGAAATGATTTTCGAGAAACTACATGTTTTTCGATGTTGTTAATCAATTAGCCGATTATTCGTGTATGAGTATTTTACAAAATACTGTTTATCCAAAACAAAAATATTGTTTTTATGCAAAAGAAAGTTTTTCACCTTAACCTAGAAGACTTTATCTTCAAGAAACTCCTCACAAATACGGGATGTGTTTCTCGTGAGTAACAGAATCTTTTTTTTATTAATTATCAATTTTAGAAAAGTTAGCTATCATTTGTATTTTCACATATACGAGAGATCTCAAAATTTTACTTAAAAAGAAGTTTGAAAATCTCAAAAATCAATTTCTCACAGAGCAAATCAAGGAATTTTTTGTTGCTCTGCCCTGCAAAAGTGCAGGACAAGGCAGCCTTGTCCTACGATTATCTCTGATATAAACAATAATAAATTAATTGTTTGCTGGTCATGCTTCGCTATTTTTTGGTTAATTAATTAGATTAAATTGCAAAGATTTACATTTAACTGTAATTACACAAAGCGTTTTACCACTTTCAACTCATCTAGATTTAAAAATCGATGTATTAAGTGAATGCCGTAATTAATGGTTGCTTTAGAATAAATAGACCTTTCCATATTTTTTATCTATGTTTCGAATCTGACTCTTTCAAAAAATGATATGCCTCTACTAAAAATATGTTGAGTCCTCATGACAAAATGTTGAACTAAACAGTCACATGAAAAAATACCGAGATCAAATCTCTAAAATTTTGTAGTTGCGAGTAAGTTCTGTCTACTTTAACGCATTATACAATTACAAGTTTCAAATTTCAGTCCTGCACACAAGATTTTATTCTCATTTCAAATCTTCTGTTTTAGACTTAACAAGATGTCCAAGAATTGAAATTATTTTATCCGATTCACATAATTCCAACTATGTTGATCTTTTATATGTTTGGAAAAAACAATTACGTTTAAATTCCATCTTCATCAAACAGATAATAAGGCGAAAAAATATATTCACGTATTACGATCAACGTCTTTTATAAACAAATCTGATAGTGACAATGAACAATTCGAAAAGGAAATGATCGTTTATTCATAATTTTATATTTCAAAGGAACATATTGTGATCCTAAATTCAGATAGTTATAATAATTATTCGTTATAATTATGGTTACAGATAAAATTCAACATCTACAGAGTAGTACATTTATGTGAACTGATGAACAAATCCATATCTTTTCTCGAAGAATTGTATCTAAAAGATTATTAGGTATGGTGAGGAGAACGTGAAGCAGATAAAGATGTAATTGATGGAATAGTGAGTAGGTGCGCGATTTTTTATTCTACTGTCATTTAGATGATAGGTCAATACTACCAGTTTAAATTTGTGAAGCGCTGAAAGAAGCCGGGAGCC